TGCTTATGCAAAAAAAAGATTCACATGTATTTGCACCTACCAGTGCGCGAACTGGTGACAAAATATTACCTCCCCTGTAAACAGTGCGCTCTTCTGACTAGAGGCGATCGGTAAAGATAACGGATGATGCTGTAATTGTTTTGCTTGTTTGAAATGAGGTAGCACAGACGAACTAAGACGTATCAACTTAATGTGAATATGATAATGAATCAGGTAAATTATTAATTGTTAAGTTGATCCTCTTATCATACCTTCATATGATAGGCAAATTCGTGAATTTTCGATTTTCAGCGTCGTCATGGTTCAAACTTGTATAAATCATGCCATCCTTTCATTATTTTTTTTAATACTAACCAATGGTTGGAACACTTTGATTTTCTCTCAATCTGTAAAGTTGATTATGTTGCATGACATATATTTTTATCGGGGAAAAAATTGATATGCAGCAAAGATTGGCACTTTTTTATTTGTGTTGCTACGTGAAATAAAGGGAGGTAAATTAAAGTAAAAGAAGGCGCGCTTTTTCAAATAGTAAACAATTTAATTCAGATGCATGGTATTTTGTCAAATGATAAAGAATATCGTAGAAATTTAATAGAAATTCTTCTAATGTATGCAATTTTCATTACAGATATAATATGATATACTGAAAGCCGAAAAGGGGTAAAAACATCATTCCATGAAAAATGGGGGGGAGGGGGTCAGTACAAAATGTTAGCAAAATTTATATTATTTTTATCTGTGGTAACAACCATTTGATTTTCAGGTGGCAACTGAACTAACGATAAAGGGGCATGCAACTATATGTAACTAGTTTTTCAATTTCATTGTCTAGCAAAATGGCTGTTTTGGGGCATTTCTCTGTTCAAACATTGGTTTAATATTTTCAAGTTCTCTTTGGATTGCCTAATAATATTGAACAAAAATATATGACATTGAAGAATACTGAATGTAGGGTGTGGAGAGCTAGTTTTCATATCCATAATTTCATTATTAAGTTGTTTTCTATTGTCTGTTGTCCAAGATGAAAAATTTTTAGTTTCATAGCAAATTATTCAAATACTTTAATCTTAGGAGTATGGTTTTTTACATATTCTTTATTGTCTCAGGTAAAGCACTGATAATTGTGACCCAATTTCAATGATTATTTACTGATCAATTTAGCACAGATTTACATGTAAAATAGACACTACTTGCATTTTTTTAAAAGACTATATTTTTCATCTCTCTTTTAAAAAATTACATCATATTAATCCATAATTGTTCTTCTTTGAGACATAATTTACAGAATATTTTTTAAAATATAGATCATCCTCAAAAGTTACAAGTAAATTAGAATTTCTAATTAGTTACCACAGGATACTGAAAAAATTTAGTTATTGTTGAACAAGTTTAATACTAGTATTTAGTAAACGTTTTAAGTTCCTTCAATGTATTAGTCCCAAATTTTCTTTATGTTATATCTGAATATAAAAATAAGGAGATGTGGTATGATCATGATTTCCAATGAAGCAACTTTACAGCACAGTTCAAATGAAGTGGATGTAAGTAATTATAAAGACCCCTATTTTCACCCAAGTCATTCTTGAAAACATTGCTTTCTGCCACGGTTTTTAAATAACAAAAACTTATTTCGTAATTAAATTTTTTATTAGATTGATCAGAAGAGGAAACAATGTTCAAATTATTTTGCAGCGATGCTCTGTATGGAAGGAAGACTGCTTTAGAATCCAACAGTTCCGGAGGGGGCCCTTTTAACTGACTGTTTAACATCAAGATCGATGTAAGATTCATGTGCTTCATCCAGTGCAAGTTGTTGCCGGTTTTTCCCTATAATTGTGGCAGAAAAACCACTAGCTCTCAACTGGATAATAGACAGTGTCTGGCATTGAAAGGATATCAAACGAATGTTTTATGGAATGATTCTCAAGAACATATGACGATTATATGCATGGAAAAGTGGAGCTAGTCTCTTTCATGCAGCAATTCGTAATTCCCAGTTTGAACTCCGAAAAGACAAGAACAAAGAAATGTACATCAATGAGAAACAGTCTCTGAATAAAATCATGCCAAAACTTAAAAGTGTCATCAGTGTTGCATAATTTATTAGTAAAGACAAAAAATCCATCTTTAAGATTGCCCAACTGAAGGCTTTTGTCTGTAATGTTTTGTAAATCTTGAAGATTTATATTATTTTATCAATATTGTTGTTCTTTGATATTTTGTAAGTAAAACCATGTCTTTCAATATTTTGTTTGTGGTTTGTTTACATGTAAATTCTGAAAGCTCATGTTTTGAATTTCCATGATCAAAGACACTGAGCAACTGAGCTTTGTTGAAAGATTTCCACATGTCGAGATGAAATAAATGAGTTTTTCTAAAGTTTGTGCATTGCTGTAGAACTGTTATGAGGCCATATATCTTCTTTGTGTGTTAATTTGGCAATTTCTTTCCATCCAGCATCAAAGTATGTTTTCAAAATAAATGGCTGGGTGGTTTTAAAAATATGCCAGTCACCAGGGAAAGGTAAGACTTACGAAAGTTCATCTGAATATTCAACTTTTAACTTTAACAGAATAAATGTTTTGGCATCACCGACAGTTATAATAAGGCCGCAGTTTAAATTTTAACCTAAAGTTTCATGATTTTTTAGCTATATTGGGACATATTTGACAAGTGTCCGACCTTTTCTTTTTTGAAGAGGGGGTATGACATATTTGCATTCTAAAGAAATATTACAACTGGGACAGAGACAGTACAAGGATCCTAAGCTATGGATGTCTTGTAACCAACTTAAAAACTCACTGGCTTGTTCATATTATGATACGATCTGTTTGCCGTCTACGGTCTTAATTCCACATTTGTCGCACTCTTGACAAATTTTTCAAGGATGGGCTTTTGGTTTCAATTTGCATGACATGGAAGTTCACAAAGTTTATGACAAAATAAGGATTAAATTTGTTTATTGATATGACATGCCAAGTTATAATCCGAGATTTCTCTGATGTCCAACGGCTGTTTTGCCAGACAAGCTGGGGCCGTGCTTGTCTGGCAAAACAGCCGTTGGACGTCAGAGTAATCTCGGACTAGCCAAGTTATTCTAAAAATAGCTCCTCGCATGCTACCCGCCTGATTTACAAACTAATATCAGAGTCGGATTATGGAAGGGGGACAGGGTGCCCGCCCCCCTTTTGTGGGAAAAAAATGGTTGATTATATAGGAAATCACTGAAGCATGACTGTAGCGGGCCTCCTCTTAGGCAGTCAGTGGGTACCCCCTTATGAAAATTTCTGGATTTGCCACTGTTTATACTTTAATATGCACGTTAAAGATTTAACATGCGGACTTTTAAATCAACACCGGAAAAGTTGTTCAATTTTGCGCAAAGAAAAATTAATGCATTTTTAATTTTATGGATAACATTTTCTTTTGCACACACTCCAACATATTACATGAACTGACAATAAACATAAATCAAAGTTAGAGAAATGTGTATATTTATATCCAAAAAATACTGTGACAAAAATGCAGTTGATGCATAAGACAGTTTGATTTTGTAATTCAATGTGTAATTGTAATTCATCATAAATTACCTGTTAGAACAATACATTAACGACAACTACATTGAAAATCATCCCTTTATCCTGGGTTGCTATGAGACCCGTTGTTGCTAGGGTGCTCTCTTCGAGGACCGCGCTATTGGTATACAGTATGCGGGTTCGTTATAATTGTTTAGCAAATAAAGTTGGGACCTCGGACTCAGTTAAAGGATTAAGGATAAATTGAAGTTATAGTTTTAGACTACTTTTTGATACAACGTTAATTGTGTGTAATTTTGTTGTTTCTTTGTTAAGTTTCAAAGTTTAAAGGTTGGTCTCGTAGTTTTTAGTAAAGTTTCCAAGTTGTAGTTAGGTTTTGAGTTAATTAAAAAATTGATATTGGAGTATCTCAGATTCTGTGAAAACGGATACGAACATATAGTTTATAAGCCAAACACGTTACAATACCAAATAAAACACTTATGATATCAGAAGACAAATAATTTGTTTTACACAATGTTACAAACTATTTCGTAGTGTGTACGTATTTCAATTTTCATTTTTTTTCCACAGATTTGAATTCAATGGAAGATGCGCATACCTGTACATCATAAAAGTGCAAAGTCTATGTTCTTTAACACACGTGTTTACTTTGGATCACATGTTTTTCAAACATAATATGTCATTTATATTATGATGATTTCTTTGAAATGTTTTAAATACACATCACATTAGGTAAAATAACAAAATGTAAGAAAAATATGCAGTCAAGATTGGCAGTTTTTAAGACACCCTATGTTGAGCAATAAATTGTTCAATTAGCAGCATATTTGGCAACTAAAAAATCATATATTAATAAATTCAGCTTTAAAATATACTTTATTTATAGTGTTTGTATAAAAGTTATTTCATGGTTTTGTGTTTAAAGAGATATTCATCCCTATGCATATCGAGTTTTATGTGTTTATTTTTTTTTACCTTTTCTATCTCTTTCATAAGAATAGTATCACTGGAAATCCCACTGCTACCACAATCGACTGTTTTGTGGAAATTTGTCTTTAATTTAAAAGATTACAATATCTCGAAGCTTCATACTATAATTTAAGTAAAAACACGTATATAAGATGCATAAAATCCTAAATTATGCGCCTTCATAGTCATTAAACCTTTAAGTCCATAGAAACAGATGTAAACAATTCAAATATACCAACTTGGCCTTTTTTAAATTCTCTAATAAAGAGTTTAATTTCTTTTGTTTGATTTCAATTGGATATCAGCCTGTATAATAAATTGCATAGAACCAAAACAGAAATTTATCAAAATATCGAAAAGTTCACAATATGTACTTGTCTGGTATACATTCAGACATTGACGTGATTGCGCGCTCGAACCAAATCATTTTAAAAGTATTTAAATTATCATAATAGACGTGTTACGCGTTAGTTGTGATTATAATTGAGATTTTTTATATGTATGTCGAAAAATGTATTAACTTCTTCCTGTTTGACGAGTCCTTTTAAAAAAATGAATAAGACAAGAATGTAATAAACGACAGACATTTAACTCGCAATATGTGGAGGACTATTTCTTTACACGGATGACAGGAACAGATCAAAATCAACCACAATATGAAATGAGCTGAATAAGATGACATTTCACGGGTTTATAAATACAGTTCATTCATGTTTAAAGCTGTGAAGACACATTGAAATGTAAGTTCGTACTTATTATATATTTCTTAAATCATATTTCATTGCCATAATGATACTTAGAAATGAATAATTGTACATGTAAACAGGTGAATGACTAATTGTACTGCACCGTTTTAGTATTGTGTATATACAATATGCAACCTAAACATGTTAAGAGACGATACCTAATCATGTTAAATGTATAAATATAGGCTATTGGATCAGCATACCATATTATGGGTTAGTTTAGGCGAGAGAAATGTCTCACAAACTTTGGATAATTTTTAAAAACCACACACCTGCAACAGTTCATTTTAGTTTCTCTATCTATGTTGGGGCGTGTTTTATTGGTCTCTTCTGTACATCTCCAGAATGTCTTTTGGTGAAGAGTACAAACAAATGAATCTGGACCTCTTCTGGAGATATTCTGTTGAAGAAGCAATAAAACAAAAATTCAATTTGCCGTCGAATGTAGCAGAATTTTTTTTATATGTTGGATGACATAAATGGAATTTACGATGATTTATTAGAAAATTAAGACACGTCAGTTCCGATTCGGTAAACATGACTGTAATGGTGTGCTCTGTTTTAGCATTGATGTAATTATACAATAAGTATAAAAACAAAGAAAATTGGTTGGAAGAAATCGCTGTGTTCGTGACATTTTTTCTTTATGCTTTCCCAGCTCAATTTTTCTAAACAAATCCGGCTTAAAGCCCCGACCATTTGTTTTTCACGAATAATCTTAAACTGTACAAGAATTTGTCAATGTTTGTCTGGTATATGATCGAAAAGAACATCTTGTCTATCAATTTTTTTAACAATTATTTATATTGCAAAATTTTGATGGTCAAAACCTTCGGACCACCACAAGGTATACAAGGTCACAGCGTTTCTCACACTGTTTATGACTAAATCCGTTGGTTGTGTACTGATTGATACTTAAATCTGGGAGAACAAGATTTATTTCAGTGTTACTTGTAATTAGCTTTGAACAAACTTTCAATAACTGCAAATACTCTTATTTCGGTGCTTTGTGTCTATTGTCTTAACGTTAGTTGTTTTTTGTGTCTCGTACCGATCTTTTGAGTTAATCTAATTGCAACTGACTTTTACAGTTTGTTCTTATGTTGTACTGTTACACCACTGTCCGAGTTTAGGGGAGGGTTGAGCGTTCAAACATGTTTAACCCTGCCATATTCTTTTTGTGCCTGTCCCAAGTCAGGAACCTGTAGTTCAGTGGTTGTCTATCAACTCATATTTGATTTGTTGTAAATGGTTTTGTAATATAGAATTAGTTAGTTTTCTTGTTTGAATTGGTTTATATTTTTCATGTCGGGGCCTTTTATAGCCGACTATACGATATGGGTTTATGTCATTGTTGAAGGCCGGACGGTTGCCTATAATTGCTTACATCCACTTCATTTGAACTTGGGTGGATAGTTGCCTCATTGCCTACATCTCCTTATTTTCATAATATATACCTGACTTTTAAACTCGTGTTTTCCTTAACATGCATGAAATATTTGTCACTGGACGTTAAAAATAAGCAACCAACAATCAATCAATTTAAACTTGTGTTAAATAAGGGGAAAACCATTTGATATTTTTTTTTGGGGGGTGGGGTGGGGGACAAGAGGTTTTTAAATATGAAAAATGTGGCCAGGTAAGAGCTAAAAAAAGCACGATTAGCGACAGATTAAAATGAATAATAAATCCGCAAAATATCCTCCTGACCCCCCCCCTCCCCAGACTATAAAAAAGTCGTCCCCTTACTGTTATTGTCCGTGTAGTTATCATATTTATCCAGCTTATCGTCCTTACAAGAATGTCCTACTAAGGATGTCATACCATAAAAACGTTAATCACACAGATCACATTCTATTATATCTGCATTCATAAATTTATTAATGTCATTTAGACTAAGCGACGCCATGTTTGTTATGTGCCTCTGCCGTCTAAACTACCTATTTAAAAGGAAGAGGTAGAAGAGAGCCAGAAGATCTTCCCAATGCAAAACAAAACAGAAATGGACCTCTTCTGGCTCACTACCGAAGAACAAAAAAACACGCCCTTGGCCATTGATTGAACTATGTCAGTTGTGGTGGTAAGTAGAGATGAGATAGGAATATATCTTTACATCAGAAAGGCAACAAAACTCAATGTTATACGCTACATGAAGTGTCGACAGTCACGACATACACGTCATTAGACTATTTTTCAACGTATATCCGAGCATCACAGACGAGAATTTTTTTTTTTGAATACTCATATAGTGCGTGTTATTATTGTATAATATCTTGTAATTTTGTATGTGTAATAACTTTTATTTAAACGCAAATTTAGAGTGCCGGGATTTTACTCCGACTGACTTCCTGTTTACGCCGAATGACCTAATGACGTAATGACGTTTGCATTAGATTCACCGTAGGTCTCTACCGTCAATTTTCTGACGGCTTAAAAGAGCTAGAAAACGCTATATTACTTTCAGCTAAGCCCGAGATTGGTGTATATTGTTTACTCTGACGAGTAATCACCATTACCTTTAACTTACTTAAAAGGCAATCGAAAGAGATAAGGGTTTAATGGTAATATGATGTCATACCAAGTATTACAAAAGGACTTTTGCACCAGGAGAACATGCATTTATTTTTCCTGAATTGAATCAAAATGTCTATTCATTTATAAATTTCCTCTGACTTCAGTTTTCCTAATAAACTCCATAGGTAGATTGTCTAAATTACTAACATCATGGACATCACTTTTCGGATCTCGTGACTGTTTTACTTCGGTTATTTTTCAATCTCTTAAAAGTTGAGCTTTGAATTACTCCGTGCTTGTTTGAACTTCAATATATTTTTATCCTGCAATCAGCCAACTATAGTAAAAATAAAGTCTCCTGTTACTCCGCTTCCTTATTGAGCAAACAGTAATGTGAATATAAAAAAAAAAATCTTTGTGCGTAACAGTTCATTTTGGAGTCCCCTTCGCGGTCCAGGTTTAAACTATGCCGATTTTTTTGAAAAATCAGAGACAACTATTTGGATTTAAACAACTGAACCTTAAAATGGAGGGTGTAAATTACAGGATAAAAACAATGTATGTACATGTAAATCTTTTACATACAATTGTGTTTCTGTGATATACGTTTCAGTTATTAGCTCGAAGTAGCGAAAGTATAATACACAGAATAATAACCATACAAACATATTAAAAAGGTATTAAATAAGAAGTACGCCTTTTAGAAATTATATTAAGATTGCGTAAAATTACTCAACAGTGAATTATTACTAACAAACGAATAAGAGATAACATGAGACATATTTCAGTATTATAGTAATAATACATATAAAATGTCAAATCGCAGGTAGATAAGCAACGTCTTTAAACCATCATGAGTCACCAATCGAATAATATCTTACTTGCCATCTAAAATTATTTATCGCAACTCGGATAAATTATGACGTTATGATTGGTTTGACGCCGTCACGTGGTGACCCCCTATGGATCCGTAGGGGTCAGTAGATTTCATATGAGGTTCATGACGTCACGTTTACTGTTAATGGTGACGTCACCGATTAATGTTTTTTGCACTTCATTGCTTATTTTTAAACATAACTTAGCTGGAAAAGTCCCGTGTGCGATAAATTCGTTATACGGTTCACTACTGACCCCCTACGGACCCATAGAGGGTGAGTAAAATCAATAGGAGATTCGGGCTTCTGCCTCACCCCCTATGGATTTTACTAACCCTCTATGGATCCGTATGGGGTCAGTAGCAAACCATATAACTTATAATATAGATTACAGATTATTCTTTACTGGACTTATTACCATATTGTGTATATTATAGCAGATATCACCATAGACTTAGTCTAGAATGGCAATACTTTGTCTACAGAAAAGAGGACCGTATGGTAGATGGATTTGTTTGGTATTGGTGGTTTTAATACTATCACAATTATTTGTTGCTATGCGACCAACAGCCTTAATGTCATATCAAGCGGCCATTATCGCAGATATCCATAACAGTTTTCTTCAGAGACAAGATGATTCCAGGTCGCACCTATTTGACAGAGATGCAACTGATCCAGAGCTTATAAATTATGTCCGTAAAAACTTCATTGAACATTTTCAAAGCGTTCCTTACAACTTGACCACTCCATGGAGAGAACATCCAACACGGGAACAAAGTAAACAAATTGATAATTTTTTGCATAAACAGGTACTGTAAATAATTGAATACTTTACACTTTAAAAAATGTACTTGGTGGAATTATTCAATGAAAAACTGGGTGGGGGTAAGAGGGGTCCTGATCCCGAAATCCCGGGCTTAAAAACATGGAATCCCGAGGTCCCGAATATAAAAAAATTTAAATCCCGACATCCCGAAATTCGAAAAAAGAATTCCCGGATTTCGAAAGGATCAATCCCGAAATCCCGATCTTAAAAACACCCGATCCCGGAGTCCCAATAAAGGTCCTACCCCCCCCCCCCCCCCCCCCTCATAACTATATCAGCAAATAAGTAAATACAGGTCACGAACTGCTTGCTAGGTTTTTCAATAGAACAACAGACACAAAAAATAATATCATTTTCAAATTAAAAGTATACACCATAAAAAAGTGAACCTCAAATGGCTCTATTATACTCTTTAACAGTAGGACACAACTGATAGCTATTAAGGTAGATAGGGTGTCTTCCTCCATCTTGGATTTTGAAATACCAGAAAATAATCGGTCTAGATCTTTAATAAAATGTGCAAATTTTGAGAGTAGTTGATAATTCATGTGTAAGAATTTTCATTTTAATATAGAAAATGACATGTTTTATTAGGTCTTTCCACTTTTCTGTGGAAAGACCTATTGGTTTTCTTCTGATTATTATTTTTTTCTTCTTCCGCCACTTATTTTCTGACAGTGCTTTTTCGTTTCGCAAGATGTCGCTTAGATTTTTTGCATATGATATCGAACAATTATTGCGACTTTGAAACTGACCCTGTTTAACCGAACACTTTTTATTGTAAGAGTTATCTCCCCACACAATATTTTTCTTGTGTACGCATCTCCTTCGCAACCGTAAAAGATTATGACAAATTTATGTCACCAATTTGCTCGTTATATCCTCAGGATCTTAAGAATAATTTTGACCGAAGCTTTCCGGAAACTCCATATGAGAGTTATTTCCCCTTCTGTATTTAAAATAAGTAAAATGTAATTGTAATTGGTAAACCATAAGTGATAGAGACCTAGGGTCTTTTGATTTGAGGTCCTTCGTCCAAAAAAAAGAAAAAAGGGTCAAGGTCAAAGGTCAAGGTCATTTCTAAATTTAGATTTTGGCTTATTTTCACCTCTTTTCAAACAAGATTTAAGATATCGACAACATATTTTTACTTAATTGTTAGTTGCGACATGTCGTAACACATACATATTGGTTTAAAGGGTACGCTTACATCATCTTAGAGTTTTCTCCCCTCTTTTATTTAAGAATATGCATATGGTGATATAACTCATGAACCAAATATATTTAAGACATAGGGTCTTTTGATTTGAGGCCCTTGGTTGATGACCTTGAAATTGAGCTCAAGGTCATAGGTTAAATTGACGTTCTAGATTCTGACCTTTGCTTTTACCTCTTATGTATACATGATAAAGCCATGGGACTTTTTGCATTAGGTTTCAAGCCATTTAACCTTGGAAAAGCCAACCGGAAGTGACCTTGTGTAAACCGGAAGTAGTTTTTTTTTGTACTTAATTAATATAAAAGTTTATAGAACCAGATGTTTTTGGTATCAGTGTCAATTAAATGTTTGAATAATACCAGAAGTAACATTTTTAAACCGGAAGTAACAAATAATCTCCCTAATTTAAAAAATATTGTATAGAAACCATATATTTTTGGAATCAACGTACAATAAGCTATCATTTGACGCTGGAAATGACATTTTTAACCGAATTTTACTATTTTCATATCAAAATACATGTGGTTTTTTTTTTGTGGAAAGACCTTTAATTGTTCTCTGAACAATTGGTTTTTAATTATATTTATGGTTGTATTTTACAAAAAACAGAATAGTTTTGTTTGATTCAATTTTTTCCAACTTTGCCACATAAGGGGAGGCAACTCAAATGTAAGGGCAGATAATTCAGATAAAGTTACTTTTACAATAAAATGTGTTAGGAATTTACCTATTTTATTATGTAGAAAGAAAACGGGTCCCGTGACCCCTTTTTTTTTCTTTTTCTTATCTGAAAGTATAATATTAGAGTTATCTTCTCATATTTTATCTCGAAATTCTATGGTGTAGTTTTCGTTTTATGGCAGAAAATTGCGTTTTCCATGCATAATCTATACAAAATCTGTCAAATTTGCACAACCTGTAGCGTGAAAATAAGCCCCGTGACCCAATCCTTTTTATTATTTTTTTCAAAAAAGCATGATATAAACTACATTTTGACAAATTATTAAAAACTTCTATGGATTGTAATTTAGACACCCCATCTACCTTAATATATAGTTTTTTTTTTAAATACTCGTGTGAAACTACCTAAGATATCAACCGGAAAATTCTTCTTGCATATTTTATTTTGCTTATCTTAAATGTTAACGCATTCTATCAAGCTGTTACTTTACTCTTTTGGATCGTTTTACGTTTAGTTGCATTGGTGCCTTTTATAATTTCGCGTCTCCAGTGAAACTCATTTACGACCGTCAAAGTGTAAAGCAAAATATTTTGTCCGTATATTGGCAACATTTCATTATCATAATAGTTTGATAGATATCGAGAAAATATATCATAAATTGATTGTTATGAAATTTTGTCTCATTAAAGGGGGGGTTATAGAAATTAATATTTTGGACACTCCTATCATTTTAGTGTTTTGTTTTATTGATTATAACAAACAAACCTAAGTTCAATAGATACAGTTTATATTCATTAACTCTAAATGCCCATTTGAAATTACTTTTTGTTAAAATATGTTTTGTTCGATAGTTAAGATAACTGTCTTACTAAATATTTTCAGTTATGAATAAAAAAAATGTTTGGGTTTTGCAGACAAACAATATTTGATGCAGCTTTCACGGTAATACTCATACTTTCCATGGACAATATTTCCAAGAATCCAAAACCATTCATAATCTTTATGGCGAAGGAGTTCTCCGGGAGAATTTAAATTGATTATGAAATTTTATAATGGGCAGTATTCCACAGTAAAATATTGTCATGGACAGTATTTCTAAGTAAAATATTGTCCCGACCAATTTGACAAAATTTCATGAAGAAGGACAATATTTCAAAGTATTTCAGTATAATTGAATATTGTATGCTGACAATATTTTGTATGGAATTTTGTCTGAAAGACAATTTTTCATAAGGGACATTATTGTATGTTACAAGTATTACATTAGAAAATGAACAAAACGTATGTCCTGTGTAAAGTACACATCGCTGTTGACGTGTTGATTTTAGGATCATAATATAAATAAGAAGATGTGATTAGTTCCAATGAGACAACTATCCATCTAAGTCACAATGTGTAAAAAGTAAACAATTATAGGTCAAAGTACGGCCTTCAACACGCAGCCTTGGCTCACACCGAACAGCAAGCTATAAAGGGCCCCAAAAAGACTAGTGTAAAACAATTCAAACAGGTTTTAAAACCAAGCATACACAGGTATATAAACTTGAACAGTCCTCAAAAATTAAATATATTGTACGGCTGCCAACTAATTTATTTTTTAACTTGCAGACCAACGGTACATTTGTAGATATAGGAGCAAATGACGGAGAACAAGATTCCGTAACTCTGTTTTTTGAAAGATGGCGGAATTGGACAGGTTTATTAGTTGAACCTAATCCTTCCAAGTATGACACAATTAAACAGAAACACAGGCGAGCTTTAACAGTCAATGCTTGTGTCAAGGTATGGTTTATTGATATACTTATATACTGTATTGTACTTTCTTGAAACTTAAAAAAGTTTTTAAAATTCTCATTTTTTGGTAGCTTCCACTTATAAAATCTCCAAGTCGCAGATATATTATTAAGTGCTTGAAAGTTTATTGCATAAAATTTGAATGCATTTTTTTTCTACATTGCTTTAATAAGAAATATTAAACTAAGTAATTAATAAGTCGGGACAGCGGACCAATGAGTGTATTGTTGTGTAACGTATACACAGAAACTTTTAATTTTTCACTTACATGATTTAAAAATGATACAAAGGTTCAAGGAATTAAAAAAAAATTATTCCTTTTCACCTGAAATCTAGAATAGAGCAATTGCTGTTATTAAAATATTAAACGTTTTCCCCTATTTCAGTAAAATAGAGATAAAAGACAAATAAATGTAGCTTAAAGTGTGTCCAACCAAACTACATGAATAACAAAAAGACATTTAGAGGTCTAAATAAGTTAAAAACAGACAGGTGTCTATACAACATACCAAGCCCTAAAACCTCGAGTCAGGTTTCATAGTTAACCTTTATCAATGGTCAAAAGTCTATTCTCCTAGTTTACTCTGATCTTGTTCTTGGACTGGTCTGAGCAGCCACGAAAACAAACATAAATTAACTCAAAGCAGTCAAAAGGTGTGCTTTCTAAGTCAACTTTCTGTAGACGTAATAACTCTACCCATGTGTAATATTGCTCAAAATGGCGCATTGAGCTGATATGGGAGTCTTCGGATGATAACAGGGCGATATCGAAAAGGACATGTTATAATCTATATTAAGTATAATCAGAATACACACACGTCAGATATATTAACTGTGCGTTCCATCGTGTTGTGGTTTAAGTCTTGTGACAACTGTTTAATTTTTTTTTAAAGTAATGAACGCGCTATTGTTATATACCTGATCATACCTTTATCGATTACAATATCACAAACGTAAGTAAAATAGTTAACTGGTTCGAGTTCAAATAAGTGGATTTAAGCAATAATGAGCCAACGTACGGCCTTCAACGATTAGAAAAACCAATATCGTATGGTCAGCTATAAAAGACCCCGAAATGAAAAACTATGAAACAATTCAAACGAGAATACTAACGGCCTAGTTTTGAACTAAACAATTTACGAAAAAATAATACGACAGACATGAACCAACGACAACCACTGCACTACAGGCTCCTGAGTTGGAACAGGCATATAAAGAATATGTCGGGGTTAAATTTGTTTGTGAGCGCTAATCCCCACTAACCTGGGAGGGACAGTGGTGTAAAAGTACAACATAAGAACAAACTGTAAAAATAAGTTGCAATTGGCCCCACTCAAAAGATTGGTACGCCTCGCTAAAATAACTAACATAAAAACAATAGACACAAAGCACTGATATAAGTGTAATCGCAGTTACTCAAAGCTAGTTAAAAATAAAAATAAAGAGATGTTGTATGATTGCCAATGAGACAGCTATCTACCAAAGTTCAAATGAAGTGGATGTAAGCAATTATAGGCAATCGTAGGGGCTTCAACAATTAGAAAAACCCATACCGTATAATCGGGTATAAAAGGCCCTGACATGAAAAATATGAAACAATTCAATAGAGAAAACTATCTGCCTAATTTATAGCAAAACAAAAAACAATTTACAAAAAAAAAATGACAGACATGAACTAACGACAACCACTGAACTACGTGCTCCTGACTTAGGACATGCACATGATGAATGTGGTGGGGTTAAACATGTTTGTGAGCGCTCATCCCTCTCCTTACCTGAGACTGTGGTATTACAACACAACATAAGAACAAACTATAAAAATCAGTTGAAAAGGGCTTAACTCATCAGATCGATACAAAGGAGAAAAACATTTAATAAAAACACAGACCGGACGTGGCAGGGTATTTATACATCCAGCTAGTTCAAAGCCAATAACAACTAATAAAAGAAATCATGTATCTAAGACTAAAGCTAATTACAACTAATAAATAAATCATGTTCTCCCAGACTAAAGTATCAATCAGTACACAACGGATTTAGTATAAAGACGTGATAAACAGTCTGAAAAACGCATGACCTTGTGCAATGCCAAAATATAAGTAAAGAGTATTGACAGGATGTACGATCATGAGTTTTATAACTGTATAAATATAGCAATATATGTTTTAATTCTTAACTATTTTGTTATTAGCAATTATGATAGGATAGGCATTAATAAGATAAAGTTTAGATTATTACACATACTTCTTAAAAATCAGTGCCGAGATCGTCCCACATCAACCAGAAATGTATGATATAGACTTTTTCATAATACACAAACAAATGCTATAACATAATACACAGACAGCAAGATATAATATTTTTTCTTGTAATTTCAGACAAATAAAAACGAATCAGAAATGTTGTTTTCACGAAATAAGAAAATACCTTGTTTTTGGACGGACACCATTTTATATGCTTTAAACAAACATCAAATAGATCTGCTTAATATTGATGTAAGCGGCAAGGAGATGGACATCTTAAAGTCGGTCGCACATGACAAGTTTTTTATACGTGTAATAACGGTGGAGTTTGCTATAGATATATTGCCAGAACTGCACAACATATTTGGCTACATGGATAAAAGAGGTTATGTTGCTATTCATCAATATATTAACCAGGGAATACAGAAAACTGATGTGATGTTTGTGAACAAGCGTGCACTGAATTCTCCATCATAATTTAATTGTGCTTAAGTGTGGTGAGCCCTGTAAACGGTTAGTTGGAATAGGTGAAAACTTTTTTTACCTTTCACTGCTACGCAAGGATAAAGCATTTAAATAACACAATGCAATCAATTGATGAATTGATACTACTTGTATGTAATGTCAGCTTTTGATCTCAAATATTTGTTACAGGGGATTGTGAACTATACTATTCACACTTATAAATGAAACTAAATACATACAGTTGCTGTAGAAACCTTCAAGGTTGTTTATCTATCTTTAAAAAAATCTGTTATTTCCTTATTTTCTGAAAGAAAACATTCATGGCAGATAAAAGGGTAGGTGTAGACCTAGTTCACAAAGACATCTTGGAAGCATGCTGTGTTTAGTTTCAACTTTCTATGAACAAGGGAACCAATATTATATTTTGTTTAAACTAAGAGAGTACAAATAGCAAAATGCACTTTTTGTGATTTTGTCTTTTTTTTAATTGTCGATCAATAAGAACAGAAAAATCATATGAGACATATACCACACAAAATACAACTAATATATGTATGACCTTCCTTACTGGTGAAACCCTACGGATCAAAGATACTGAACATCGACATAAAACCGAAAATCTACACGAAAACACACGATATAAAGTAAAGCAATACTGAATCTTTAATTTTTTTTAAAATTATCAGTACGTACTCGAATTTCTACTTTCCTTTAACATCTGTTCTAATGCCAGCGATTAAAGTAACCATGGCATACTTTATAAGTGACCCCCGTTATAATTCCCAGTTGTATAAGAAGGAGTACTTTACTATGACTGCGACATCACAGTGGTTAAGGAGAGTATATCTTACTATAAGTAATGCCCTCTGGTTGAAATAAGCATATCATAATCTGTCTGTGACATTAATTGTAATGCCCAGTTTAAGAAAGCATAACTTACTATGATTACGACATCCGTTGTAACGCCCAGTGTTTGAAGTAAACATACCATACTCAGCCATCGATATTCATTCTATTCCGAAGTGGTCGGACTCCGCCTGCGACCCGGATAAATATCCGGTAGTTAAACGTATGCATAGCATAGTTTTGTGCCGGAGCCAACCTTTTAACACCACTGGTTAAAATGAGAATAACATTTTCTGCATGTAACATATGGTATGCCTAGAGTTTAAAGTAAGCGTCCTCTTCGATGTCGTTATAATGCCGTATGTTTAAATTCGGCATACCTTACCTTACCTTGGCCTGTCACTCCGATATTCGTCTTGATTGTTATTGCAGGCAAAGTTAACCTTAGATGGATTTGGCTATTTTCTTAAGCTCCTTTTGGTCATATAGCTTTTCAATTGTTTCGGTTCGTATGCATCCTTGGCTTTCACATATTCGAATTTGAGCTTCCTGGTGGAGATAAATCCAGAAAAACGCTTCAGACGCATGAAATTGATTACGTATTTCTTTCATTTTTTATTGGTTAAGGCCAATATTGCAGTAAGAGACAGCACTCGACAAGAGAACACGAAGACGTATGTCTACAGTCTTCAGCTGCACGGTCGACCATTTCGTGATGTCTACCGTTAATAAAACACAACAGTAGTTTACTAGTGTTAAAACACTCGTAAATCATATAGCTATATACTAGATAGAGAGAAAACAAGGAAATCGCATGAACTCCCAATGGTCGTTAATCCATTTGGAATCTACAAGCTAAGATATAAGGAAAAGTCCAGGAAATCGAATGAAACACAAAATGGAACGAAATATGTTTACAGGGTAAACATCTCCATCTTGTCACGTATCACCCATCATGCGAACCAAGGATAACAACCAACGATAGAGAACAAAACCCCGCCGTTTTGTTTTTAATCAGACGACTATTCCTGTTTCAGAACATCTTACTTAGATTATATGTCATTTGGTCTCTGGTGAAGAGTTGTCTCATTGGCAATCATACCATATCTTCTTATGTTAATAATAACTTTATATCAAAGGCTGCGAAAACATGTCTCATTATAACAGTAAGGAAATGTGATTTGATTGCTAATGAGATTACATTCTACCAGGAACAACAGGACGAGTATGTATACAACCACAAGTCACTGTTTTACCTTCAAAAATTAGAAAAACCTAAACCTATACTAAGCTATTAAAGGTACCGACAACCACATCATAAAAGGCTCTTGATTTGGGAAAGGAAGACAAAGAATGTTGAGTGATTAAAAATTTTTGTCAGCGCTGAATACTATCCAGTAAAAATCAGTTGGAGGTCTTGAAGCATCAGATATGCACAAAGAATAAAAACACATAGGACCGATGTAAGAGACGCATGAGCTGAGAAAACGACATCTCGTGTCGGTCAACAAATTTACGGTTATCGTAAAACATGTAAAATGTCAATTTCAGTCGTTCTTCCTTCATATATTGATGGAGAAGTTCATGTGCCTCACACCACTGTTGATATAGTCCGTATTATGTTAACAAGCAAGCTTGTAAAGTATCAGCGTATCTACTGAGATATGTCAATGTCATGTTAGGGAGAGGATATGTTTCTTTTGAGATATTTCAACGTCATCCGATGGAGAGAGGATATGTTTCTTTTGAGATATGTCAACGTCATAAGATGGAGGGAGGATATGTTTCTTTTGAGATATATCAACGTCATACGATGGAAAGAGGATATGTTTCTACTGAGATATTTCAACGCCATACGATCGTGAAAGGATATGTTTCTACTAAGAATTGTCAACGCCATATGATGGGTTGGTTAAGGATATGTTTCTACTGAGATATGTCAACGCCATACGATGGAAAGAGGATGTGTTTCTAGTGAGATATGTTAACGCAATACGATAGGTAGAGGATATGTTTCTACTGAGATACTGAGATATGTCGACGTCATACGATAGGTAGAGGATACGTTTCTGCTGAGAAATATCAACGCTATACGATGGGTAATGGATGTGTTTCTACTGAGATATGTCAACGCCATACGATGGGAAGAGGATATATGTGTCTACTGAGTTATGTCAACGCCATATGATGGATGAAGGATATGTTGCTATTGAGATATGTCAACGCCAAACGAGAGGTAGAGGATATGTTTCTACTGAGATATGTCAACGCCATATGATGGATAGAAGATATGTTTCTGCTGAGAATTGGGAAGTGAACAATGGAAACACTGATTTGTTACGTTTGTTGTTTAAAGTCTTTCAACTGTGTTAATTTTAAGATAAAGAGTTAGGTATAAAGCAGATCTCCTAACTTTGGTAGTATTTCAAATGTCAAATTCACTTTGAAATGAATTTCAAGATTTGTTTTCCACGATCCACATACTTATTTTGTCTGAACAAACTAAAAGTGTCTCTGAGGACTTGCCTTCGGGATCTTTCGAAGACAAACTTTATTTTTAGTATTAAGAACTCTTGGTTCCATAACATCCATGTATGAAGCAGCCACATAACAGGAAATCTATGACAGGTAACGCAAGCGAATTGGGGATACTTAAGTATGCAAATGTTGGTAGAATGTAAGTTGATAAATCAAAAAACTTTAAAGATCAAATAATGGAGCATAGAATTTAATAAGTAAATATCAGCCTTCCTTCCTGATAACAGCTGGAGTAGTTTGAGTCATGAGTTAAGAGTTGTATACACATGTTAGAAAGTCTAAATAACTTATGATAACTGTTAGCAGCCTATACTTGGCTGGATGTTACAATTCTGAAGAAATCGGAAATTTCCACTAGGAAAAGTGCATTACACGCCTTGTTTACATAATAGGTTTTATTCGTCTATCAGGGTTAAATAAAGTAGAAAGATCAAGAAATATATTAGCTTCTATACACTTTTCTTGTATTTGTTTGCAGCAAACCAAGTACAAGAAAAACGTATAGACTCTGATATTTAGTCTCCAAAAATAGACAACTGTTTAGAATTCGGGAGATTAATCGTCTTTAAACTAGACAAGTTATGAACTCGTTTGTCAGCGACAGTTAAGATCTCGTCACCAACAACAAATTTATTAACGGATTTGTTATCTTAATTCCAAGGTATTAATATGTAAAAGAAATGATATAACAGGCAGTTCCAAGAAATCTATTATCTCTGTTATATTAGCATTTCCGACTGCAAAACCACATACACAAGTAAAGCAATACCTAATCAAAATTACAGTTTTGTAATGACACTACAATCTACATTCGTCAAATAAGCTTTCCGGACACAGAAAGACAACTTTATATATATATGAAATACTTTTAAAATCATCTTTATAACATATGTCTGGAGAACATTGTTCCGTGACTAACTTGATAGCTTCTATTTAAAATCAATTGGAACTCTTGTAATAACATTTTTGACTCTATCGGGATTTTTTTTATCAAGAAGTACACGCAACAAAAAGCTGATGAACACACTTTAAAACATTAAGAAATAAACATTGTTAAACGTATAAAGTAAAATCAAAAGCTCTCTTCCTTTAGAGCAAGGTTAAATTAAAGCTGAATTAAAGCATTATATGATAGATGTTATATTGTTTTGTATAAGTATTGCACCGACGTCTTACGAAACGATATCCAGAATTATAAAACATTTGTTTTGACAAATTTATCAAGAGAAAGATGTAATATAAACAACTTATTTACAAATCATTGGAAATCCAACAAATACTTCAACGACACATATTACAGAGGAAATCTTGAACAATCATAGGTTTGTTTTATGTTTCTTAGCAATAACTGGATCATCCTTCATCTTACTAGATATTCAAATTACATTTACTGGTAACCAACTGTGCTCCTCATTTTTGCCAACCTGTTCCTTTCTGCGATTGAGGCAGAATTCATACAAGAACTAATCAATAAAAAGAAAAAAAGCTAGCATTAACCTTAACATTCATGTTCCACTGTATAGACGATGTCTTTTCACTACATAGTTCAAAGTTTGGTGACTATGTTGATCGCATTTATCCCATTGAACTTGAAAAATAGGATACATCAGATGCTTTCTCTATATATTCATGGACAATACCAGACAATGGACAAAACGTAGATAGGCGGACAATTCTAGACAATGGACAAAACGTAAAATGGTAGACAATACCAGACAATGGGCATAACGGAAAATTGAAGACAATACCAGACAATGGGCATAACGAAAAATGGTAGACAATACCAGACAATGGACAAACCGTAAAATGGTAGACAATACCAGACAATGGACAAAACGTAAAATGGTAGACAATACCAGACAATGGATATAGCGTAAAATGGTAGACAATACCAGACAATGGACATAGCGTAAAATGGTAGACAATACCAGACAATGGACACAGCGTACAATGGTAGACAATACCAGACAATGGACATAGCGTAAAATGGTAGACAATACCAGACAATGGACATAGCATAAAATGGTAGACAATACCAGACAATGGACATAGCGTAAAATGGTAGACAATACCAGACTTTG